CTATGAATCATTGGAGGAATGTATGGAAGATAAAGATTATATTCCATTCGATATTCAAAATAGCTAGAAATCAGTCGTGTTTGATCTTGTTGAATGACACAAACAAAAGAAAATGGTTACAGCACTCAACCTTCAGGATAAAGAAACAAGTTGTAAAGAGATTAACAACGCTGTTTGACAGTAAAACATTTTCATTTCTTTCCATACAATAATCATTAATTAATAATGCGACAATTAAATATAGAATTATTTCAAGGTTTTAGGAAAAAACTATGAAGTTTTCAACTTTCGATAAAAATACATATAAATCCTGAGATAACTAGTGAAACGAATGAGTGAAAAAAATTTTATGATTAAATATTGACATTTATTCAATAACTCAGAAAGATAAACATAGGTAACTGTTGGTCGTGAAAAAATTTGTAAAAGATCTTTTCAACAATCATGTTTAATAACCTTCAGATAAACTTGTTTCTCAATCCGAATAATCATATTTTTCATTCTTTAAAGAATGATGTAAATAGTAAAAGAGTTCAAAGCTAGATTCAATTTTATAAAAAAAAACAAAAAAAGTTATTTTCATCTGACAAAACATGGAAACGTGAATATATTTGAAAACAGTTTAATGTATTTCTACGTGATAATTAAGGATGTATTATTATTAGAGTTTGGGTTACATGAATTTCGGTCCAGGGAATTTTCGGCCCGGTCCGAATTCCCGGTGATTTTTCGGCCCGGGCCTAAATTCATCTCATCAATCCCTAAAAAAGGATGCCATTTTTCTATAACTAGTGGATACATTCCGTAGTACTGAGCAAGACGACGTGGTGCTGAGCAATACGGCGTAGTGCTGAGCGCTAATGACTTAATGTTATCACCGTCCGATATTTGTTCACTGTATATGGAGGACTCGAACTGTTTCTAAACAAAATAGGCGAAAAAGCTTACATATATAGCTAAGAAGAAGGAGAACAAGACATATGTACACGCTATAAATGATGATATTGATGCGACTAATATATCTGACGTATCATACAAAAAGAAGTCTAGGGCAGAAGACAAATCAAGTGTTACCTGCCATTATCAATGATAAATGCATAAAAAAATAACATTAAATATATTTGAATATCTAGAAGAAAAATATCAAGAGAAAAGAATAGATGTTTATTATGGCAAGTGAAAAAGACAATAAATTAGCAAGGAACAAAAAATCGACAATGTAAATAAGTAGTGTTCGATCAAACTTTTAATATACTAAAAATGTTTTATAGTGTTTTACCTTGAAATCTCACGAGAAAAATTTGATAGAAGTCCATTAAACGCTCTATCGACTATGCACACATATTCTTGTTTGTCTATCCCTGATGCTGTCAGTTATCGAGTAATTTGTTCATTAGACCCAGCACTACTTTTATAATCTATAGCTCGAATTAAATCTCTACTATATAATTTATACGCTACTTTTTGTCTACTAGCACACTGGGCTGTCTTTCGAAATGCCGTAGACTTGATAGAATGCTATGAATATAAAGTGATGTAAAATCACCCTGCTCAGCACTATGTCGTACTGCTAAGCATTACGTCGTTCTGCTCAGCACTATGGAAATGTGCTAATTATTCATTGAAGCTAGACTATTTTTTATAAACAGCAGTGAGATGAATTTCGTCCCGGGTCGGATTTCCGGTGATATTTCGGCCTGGGCCAAAACGCCGCCGGAATTTAGGACCGGATCGAAGTTCCAGAGCGAAAATTCCTTGGGCCGAAATTCTGGCCTCCCTTAGAGTTTATTTTGGTAGAAAAGCCAAGTTCTTCATAGTTTACAAAAGTTTTCTAAAAGTTTTATCGGATTAAAATCTATGTTATCATCGAGATATCTGTATTTGCAATAGTGTTCTTTACAACAATTCAGTTTCAAATAGATTCACTATAGTATTAAAAAATATGACCTTATATAGAAATATTGATCATTAGAAAGTAAAGATTGAGTAGACTTTTTTATGATGTTGACAGAAATAAATATCTTTTCTATTGGGTTTGAATAAGTCTATTCCTTATTGAAAATTAGCATTTGATCATTGACTATTTTCTTTATTTCAGTTAAAAATTGACTGAACAATTCAAATAGAGGAAATAAATAAATTATTTTCTATTGAAATCAAATGTTGAGGATATATCAAATGAATGTAATATACCTCAAGTATTCTCATTTATATCCTCAAATTCTCTCGATATTATTATCGAGATTTTGATTCTTTTTGTGAATTGTAACATATTTCGACCACTAGAATAACAAATTCTAAATCTCTTACTGATTTTTTTTCAATTTCTTCTCCAGCCTATTTGACGGAATCCTTATATACATACTAATCGAAACAATTTTATCATTTGATTCTTTTCTGTTTGTTTTTTAGAATGCAGGAAAAAAAATACTTGTGAAGAAAGTGGCTGACATGATATTTGATCTTAAATCGATTTATTGATTAAATGAACTTTTCAATAACCATAAATAAACTTTTCTTTATCGTATTAGCTTGTCGCAGTTATTTAACTTTTTTTTGTTCGTCTTTCTTGTCGAATAGGCTTTTTGAACATTCATATTATGTTATGTTTTGGTTTAAATAAACATCTCGCATATTATATCGTATAGCTCAAGAAGAATTCATTACAAGTTTGTAAACGATCAAAAATCAATCTATAGTATCTCCCATCAGATAACTATTGGTCGATAGCAACAAAATAAAATTCTTCTTTTTATGACTGAAGAATCGAATATTGCAAGTTACGCCCATTCGAATTATCATGAAAATACTCTTTTAAATCAAAAAGCATTTTCTTTTTAACGATTTAGTAAGACTACACGTTTAACGACCTTATTTTAGATTGTTCTTTATTCGAATATCTTTTCTGATGTATTTTAAATTCGTAATATTATTAAAAGTTCTTTGTTTAAATTCTGATAAAACCTTTTGTCAATCATCCTCATAAAATACTATTCTTTTTCCATGTAAATATAAATAATTCTTCGTGCTCGAAGAATTTTTATAGAAAATAGAACGTATTCTTATCAGTAATATAGAAACAATTGAGATCAACAAGTAAATGGATGATGTAAGTGTTTAGCACCTCAACATAGCTAATTATTGATTTGGGTTATTTTATTTCAATATTTGTGCCAATTCTTTTACTTTTGAAAAACCAAACGTTTAGGGGAAAAGCCAGTCCTGTAAACTAATTGATCGTTGAATATTTTTTTTTCACATAAAAAAGACCAAAAATGTTTGCTATCTTATTTATTACACTAGATAATCGCATTCAACTTCTCACTAGTTTTAGAAATCTATCTCAACTGTATCAAAGTTTTACATCGTAGATTCAATATTCTATTTATTTCAAAATATTGAAATATATGACGTAATTTATCAACTTGCTGTTTTTCAACACTATCGTTTCTAATCATTATTCGAATTAAATATATAAATATTTTATTGCCGATATCAATATTATAATTTCTAAATCATGACACAAAATAAATTCGAAATAAATTTCAATTAATAAAAAATCGAAGCAGAATTCATCGACGATCATAAAAATAATGACAGTGACACAGTTAGCGTTCGATCACATGTATAAGTCAATGGACAATAATCAAGCTTTCATTGTCGTATTCATTTGCTGCAGCGAGTATTATGCATCTTTCATTCAATGTTTGCAATTCGTATTAGTCCATTTTATATCAATGAAAGGAAAGAATTGCTACATTGTGTTCTTAATGCTCGACGGAAATATAAAGAATAAGAATTTTTCTTCTGTTTTTGTAAAATGTTTTTTTTTGTCTCAGATATCGTGCCTATATTTTTAAAATTAAATATTGTGTTACACATGTTCTTTTTTTCTAATGGAAAGTATTGTCTTATATAGATAGATTCTCCTGATTAGTTTTTTTTTCAATTAAGTTTTTAAGAAACATGTGTCACTAATTAATTTGGGATTTATATTTTTCATTCATCATGATTTGTTTTCTAGATACACCTGTTTTTGATGAGAAATATCTCCAAATAGTTCGTGTTGTTGTCTACCTAATTTTTTCACATTATCAACCAATAACAAATTTTTTTTGTATCTTTTAATTAAATATAACTTGTTTTCCTCTATAAATAGCATTGAAATTGTAGATCATAAATGATAAACTAAAACTAAAGTTTCTTTTTTATCAAGAAATCGAAATCGATATTTTAGTGAAATTTAAAAGATTTTGTCCATAATTTTGTAAGTAGATAATTAAACTAAGAAGATCTATATTCTCGAATCTCACATTTTCAATAAAATAAAATTTTTTTAACAAATTCACATAGGCTCCTTAAGACTAAGACTGTGTGTTCTGTAAAATATTTTTTTTTTTTTACTTGATTATATAATGTATAGAGTCAAATAAAACAAGTAAAAGCTGATCCAAACGTTTTGGATCCTTTCAATGATATCGCTCGTTTACAAATACTATTCAGAATAAAAGTTATCTTTTTCCCCTTTTTACTCTATATCCTCTTGTTATATTGCAAGATCTTGTTTCAATATTATTGTTCGATGTGTTTCTTGAAAACTAATATATTAACATAAAATTTAACGAATGATTTAAATTTTGCTGTCTATAGTATACCTGAGATTCTTCTTATATCTACTGAAACTCTTTTAATTGTAGATTTCATAAAACGTACGAGAGCAAGTCTTGTTAAGGTAAGTGCATAATTATTGCTTTAGAAAACTTTTAGGATATACGAAACGAGCTCCTTTATGAAATAAATCGACATATCCTTTCTTACTAGTAACGATAGAATTATAAAAATTTATAGTAATATTCATGTAGTTGCAAAGAATCAAAGATTTAATTTGAAGAATTTTTCTCTTGCTAATAAACAAAAAACATTTTTTTTTTTGGATTTATATCATTATATTTTATTTGGAATGGAAAAATATACATTTGATAAAAAAAAACAATTTTAATTTATACAAATGTGGAATTGTAACGCGAACGATGAGTAGAAGATAATAATTGTTCTTCTTCTTGTAAAATTCGTGCTAATTGTTCATCATTACTTGTATCATCATATTTTGATGGTGGATCAATTTCTTCATAAAAATTCTGTCGTAATTTGAGAAATAAAAAAACAAGAAACATAAATATTGATTAAAACATCTTGTACATTCATACTTGATCATCAGAAGAATGATAATGAGTTCTATAAGGAGTTTGATCTATTGAATTTGATTGAATTTTCATTTCGTCTTGTAACTGTCGTGCTAATGCAATATCATTTTCTTCTCTGTAATTACATAAAAAAAAAAAAAACAAATTTCTTTTACATCAAAATAAGAAATAAATACCGACATTTTGTGTTTTTGTTGATAAAACTCTAATTGTTTTGCAACAAATGCTCGTTTTTCTTCTTCTTCAACATTGCGAGCAGTTTTTACACCTAACCGTGAGTCGCGTCGAAGTGTACGATTTCGATCAAAATGTACAGCAACTATTTTAAATGAACATTAACATTATTATAATAATTATCGATCTTACATTCTTCTTCTTGTAATCGATGAGCTAAACCTGAATCAGAATGTAATAAAAAATGTTGACAAACTATAAAATAATTATATAGATGATTATTGAACATTTTAGTCAAAGTTATTTATGTTATATTATTTTTTACTTTGTTTGACATGACCAGTCTTTGTTTGTTCATTAGTTTTTGTCATTTTATCGTGCTCTTTGTCTTTTTTCATCATATCGATCGATCGATTCTTCCAGCAAAAAGTGTGTAAGCACAAAACTAATACTTATTGATGACGAATGAAATAGAAAAGATTGAATACCTTCATTTTGTCATCATCCCACGTACAAAAGGAAGAAAAAGAGTAGCGACAAAAGACGTATAGTATGCAAACGTATGAGTAAATCATGTGGACTGGATGGAGAAAGAAAAGGATACGACATACAAAACGACAGTGTCGTTATTCCCTATTTGTTCATTCGGTGTTCTAATACACGATTGCAAGTATCGAATAACAATAGAAACTTGTTCTGCCTGGCCACGTAACCGGGCTTTTCGTTTTTTTTCTTCTTTCTCACGAGACACATAAATACACAAGACAATGTAGAACAAAATACAAAAAGAAAGAAACATACATTTAAAAAAAAAAAAAACCGTAAATCGCATCGCAAAAAAAATCGAAATATTATTATTACGTCGATGGTGGCAGAACTTGTGTGATCAATGAATTCCTATTTGTCATCATTAAATTTTGATGTAAATGTAAGTTCATTGCTAATACAGAACGTACATCATGACAAAATCTTAATGCATCAAGAAATGGAAGTAATGATAGAAGACAAGTATCTGTTGGATCAAAAAACCATGATTTAACTAAAAAGAAAACAAAAAAAAAACGGAGTCGAGAAAATTTTTTTGTTTCCTTTTGTAATTTTAAAACAGAATTTTTATTTACTAGGAATGGCATTTAATGGATAAGAACGATAAGCTAAAGGACTATTATCCAGAATAAATATTCGTGATAAATCATTATTAACAACAGATAAATCTTTTGAATATGCGTTAAATTCTAATGTACAATGCTGACGATAAAATCGACGTGAAAGAATATGTCGATCATTATCTAATTTATCGGTTACTGCTGCACCATAAATTTCCATCGATGCTGTAAATACAACAAGTTCATACCATTTACTCACCTATAATAATTAAATAAACAAGATGTAAAACAAAAAAATACATATGAATATGAACAAATTCATTTTCTTACTGTTTCAAGAAAATAATCAACATGTGGTCGTTTATAAACAAAAAATCGTACTGGATGTTTTTCAATTTCAACACGAATTATAAAATCCGGTGGTCCTATTGGTTTGAATGTGGCAGCACGCATTTGACCATCATGATGAGAATGAATTAATGTTTCATCTAAATCTAATACCAGAATTTTTTTTGGAAGAAAATCTTTCAAAGAAAAACATAACAATATGTTTTAAATATATATAGAGAGAAAAAATAAATAAACATACGTAGCCGATGAAGAGATAATGGTTGAAGAGGACAATTATAATACTTAACAGATTGAAATTGAATAAGCTAAATAATCATTTATTATTTCAACTATCAAAGAAAATGTTAATTTCTTTGTTTTTTTTTTTACTTTTTTTCTCGATCCACGTAAACTAACAAAAATAAAACTCCAAAAGCCAAGAAAAAATATTAATATTCGTTTAATAAATAATGAAAAATAAAGAAATATATTCACATGAAATAAATAAATATAATCAAATATATGAAGAAATAAACGAAACATGCTTATTGTACGTTTTTCATTACGATTATTATTATTTGAATAATTATTTTGATTAAATAATGATGATGATTGTTGAACTCGAATTAATGCAGATGAAGGCATTAAAAACATTTTTCAAATTCAATAGAAACCAAGGCCATATCAAATTAGATGGTCATGAGAAAATAAAAAAGCTAAGTTGTTATTAATGATAACATATAATATCATATGATTCACTGTATACAGCTGAGAGACTAGATAAATGAACCAGTAAAATAAAAGAACATCAAACGGAGGTCGCCATAGGACGATCAATGGCAAATCGATTACCAATGAGAAAAGATTAAGTAAAACCACATGAACAAAGCCAATAATAAGTTTCTTTTCTAAAGAGCTTCAAAGCTTCTGTTTATTTCTTGTAACGAATAATATTAACGATAGATTGTTTAAAAATGATTAAAATAGTCAAGAAAATTTTCGAGTTTTTTTTCAGACTCGATAAGCTAATTAGACATACAACAATTATGTTAAGAATTGTTCAAAAAATAACAAGGTCAGTATGCTATAGATGAGTTAATATCATAATAGTTATCAATAAACATCTAATATAAGTAATCCTCTTTTAAATTTCTTATTAAACAAAATCTTATTAATCTTTAGATTTAGTTATATTATAACAAAAAAAAAAAATTTTTTTTTTTGCAATTATTTTATTCTAGATCATTACATTACTTCATTAGTTTTAAATTTTACTCATTCTAATAAACTATAAATATTAATTACATAGTGATTTCTTTTATAGATTTTGCTTTTGTCGTGTATAAATAATTTTTTTTTGTACTATAGTAACAATAACAATACTACATTTTAGTTCTTCTTTCTTATTTTTATGGTATTTTATCCATTGAATATATTAACAATATAAGTGTCTGTATACACTTCACTTTAATATTCTTCCTGTGAAAACTACCTACATTCTTCATTGTTTCTTATCTCTTTCTTTTTTTTTTCTCCTCTATTCTAAAAACGTAATTGACAGACACCAGTATACTATTAACAGAAGCATCCTCTACATATATGCCGAAAAAGAAGAATGAAGGAAAAAAAGAATCGACAGAGCTAAAGAGAATACACAAAGTCTAATCTTTAGTAAATAATGTCATACATGTTCATTTTAGATAATGGCTAATACATTGAATTTACCGTTAACATCGAATCAAATTGGTGGTAATTTTATAAATAAAACAATTAAATGTGTTTGTGTAGGTGATGGTTGTGTTGGTAAAACATCAATGCTTATATCCTATACAACAAATACATTTCCACAATCTTATGTTCCAACTGTATTTGATAATTATTCTGTTACTGTGATGATTAGTGGTGAACCTTATACGCTTGCACTTTTTGATACAGCTGGACAAAGTGGTAAGATTATTTAATGATAAATATAAGATTTAATTGAATAAATATTTGTTTGTTTTTTTTTGTCTAATATTTTTCTATAGGTTTTGAATTAATGCGTACATTTTCTTATACCAATACTGATGTATTTCTTGTTTGCTTCAGTGTTATGTCTCCAACATCATTTAATAATGCTCTTAAAATGTGGATTGATGAAATTCGTCAATCATCATCATCACGTACAGCACCATTTATTCTTGTTGGAACAAAAATTGATCTTCGTACAAGTATAGCTGATGTTGAATTATTAGCAAAATCAAAACAAAAACCAATAACACGTGAACAAGGTGAACGTGCAGCAAAAGAATATGGTGCATATGCTTATGTTGAATGTTCAGCATTAACACAAGAAAATCTTAAAGAAACATTTGATGCAGCTATTTTAGCTGCACTTACTCCAATATCAACGAAACGTACAGGAATTACATGTTGTTGCTCATAAATTAAAATTTCTTATTTAATTAATTAACAGTGATCTGAACAAAATAAAATATATGTCAATTAAAACTAATCTATATCTTATGCTGGTCAGTATTGATTCAATTATTCGTCAGTTCGTTTATGTGGTTGTTTGTTTTTTATATAAATGTATTAAATACTCATTTTTTTTTTCTGTATATTCGATATGACTTTTTTTTTTCTTTCTTTTGCTGTTCTTATTAATGTTGTTTGTTGGTTTGTTGTTTTTTTGATACATTGTCGCTAAATATATCTATACGATACAAATATTCATCGATTTCTACAGCAATTATCGACCAATAAAATAGACAGTTATAGATCATGTACATTATTTTACGCTTCAACAAACATAGAAAAAAGCTATTAAATGATGAAGAATAAAAAACCATCTTGCACTTGGTTTCTCTGTATTCAGTCTAGTTTTTTTTCTTGTTGTTTTCGTCCATTATAATTTTATTATGGGTAATAATCAATCTGGAACAAACAATTGGAATATGGATGATTTAGCATTTGGTACAGCAGCAAATGTTATAACAGCAGAGGAAATTGTTACTGAAGTAAGTAGAATACGTTCAAAATATTTTGGTGGTGACGCAGTTGAAAATGATCCATCAATGCATCAAATGCAAAATGATCTTTTAGCATTTGATGAATCACTTAAAAGATTATTTTTTCGAAGAAAAAAAAGTAAACCATCATCAAACGAGGTACTCCATGAAGAATATTATTATGAAGATCAGCAACCGACACCAGCTATGGAAACATATAATTCAATAAATAATCAACATTATTTGGAACCAACATTTCTTGATAAAAATTTACCATCATCATCATCAAAATCAATAAGTGATTCAGTTAATGATCAAGTCAAAAATACTAATACAAATTCATGGAGATGTAGTAATTGTACTGCAGAAAACAAAATAACTGATCATGTATGTCGACGATGTAAATTAGCAGAAACACAGTTATAATATGATATATCTTCTATGGATTCAATATTATTATTTTTTCATGTTTTTCATTTATTAAATTCACAAAACTTTTGTCTTATTGAGAACAAAAATAGAACATTTTAATAATGTAGATTGACCTTTTTTCGTATAATTCTTTTCTGTTACGTATTGCATGATATACACTAAATCATTTTGTCATGTATAACATAAATTTTAATTATGTATGCTCGTCACCAATATGATATTTTGCAATTTACTCAGTTTTTGTTTTTTAATTTAACAAAATATCTTTATGAATATGTTTAAATAGTATAGGAGAAAATAATTATCGTTAGTAAATTTAGAGTAGAAAAAAAAACAAGCAACTACCTGTATAACGCAGGTACTATATTCTCTACTATCAATCGATGATATTGCACAATTGATGACTTCAAACATGATTTATACTTCTATTTATAGTACTATGATTAGAACAACATATTTGATAGCAACGTATAGATTATAGAATGAATAAATCATACTATTGATATACTTGTATACGGCATGCTTTGTACAATATGTAAGATGATATGTATAAATATAGATCAAATACACAGTTGTCTATAAGTCAATGTTTCATTGCAGAAATTTTGACATATCTTGTCAGAGATAGCATCAATATAGATTTATAACGTTATTATTATGGGGTCGTGTTAGGTCCCAAGATTGGGAGCATATATCCTTCATACTCCCACTTTCGTGGCCTCGGTTAATGTTAACTACTAACTTCGTGTATCCTTGTCCATATACTATAATAATCATGTGTTGAATTATATTGAATGGATACTATGAAAACAAAAAAAAAAGGATGTGATACGAAACTTTAAAAAAAAAAGTTGCCACGAATTGGAACAAAATCGAACTCTTTTTCTGGTATCGTAGAGCTTTACAAGACTCTAAGAAGTTTTCACAGATTTTTACGATAAATTAAAAAAAGTTTCATTTTTATTACAATCTTCAAAATTTTCTAAAATACCATAGCTTTTTTTTCGATATAGAATGAAAACTGATTTACATATATTTTCTTAGAAAACGAATTTAATAAAATGCTCAATATAAAAGTATAAAGTATTGCTTCATAAACGGATATATATATTTTATCTAATGACCCGAAGCAGTAAACATAGGTGTGAGAAAGAGAGTTATGATTTTCCAAAGGGCGAATAACTTTCGTCTAACAGAATATGTAAAAAGAGAATTACAGCTCTCTGGTGAAAAAAACAAATACTTTCCACAATTGGAAAAAAGGGGGGGGGGGGGAAGGTATTATACCCCTATATCTACCTTCTCGATTGGGTTGTCGCTAGATGATTATTTATAAGAAGCATACAGTTGACATCTTTCTTTTTAATGTAGGTGTATTAATCATCAAAAATATTTTTGTTTCCTTTATATTCACACCTTCGCAAACATTTATATACAAACTATATAAATCATACATCACTTTACAAACGTGATTGTTGTTATTCATACATGTTGCTATTCAAAACAGATCCATAAAACAAATTGATTATGAATATATCAAAGCATTGACTGTAGGCAGTAAAAAAAAAACGAAGTAGGTACAATCTTTGTGTTTTTCTTTTTCTAATTCCTAACAATTTATAATTTAATATAGGAATATCGTATACGAACACCATCTTTCGACTTATTTTTCCATAATATATTTAATCAAATCCATTATTTCTTAATTACATAATACTAACGAAAGAAACAAAGAGAAGAGATTAGAAAATAACTAAACTCATATTACTTATTTTATTCATTCCCTGGTGTCACATACTTTTGTTCTCAATTGTTAGTATTTCATCGTCGTACTATCTATCTGTGAGTGTCTATTTTATCTATATTATTTATTTTAATTTAAGAAGAATAATATAATGTGATAGAACAAAATTAAAAAAAGTATTTTTATATATTTTAATTATTTGATCCAGTGTACATAGTCTATCCTATCATAAATTAAAAAATGGAAGAAAATTCATCAAAAATATCTTCTATCAAAGCTATTCATGACATAGCTCGACGAAATAAAGTAAGAAATTTGATGAGACAAAAAAAGAAAAAACAGGAAAAAATCAAAATTTAATTTAGATAGTTGCTGAATATCAACTTGAAAAGGAATCAGGTCCAGCTCATGCAAAAGTTTACACAGTACGACTTCATTTGGGTGAAAAAGAATATATTGGTAGTGATCGTAGTATTAAATTAGCACAACGTGCTGCTGCACAAATAGCTCTTGAAGATCATAGACATTTATTATCAATGAAACATTCTGATAAAGAAACAAATAGTATGTTGACTGTTTTTTATTTTTGTTAATATTAATTCTTAAAATTGTTTTATTTCTTATTTTTTATAAGTAATACCTCAATCTCCAACTGTTACTTTAAATACTTGGGCTGCTCAACATCATATTCCAACACAATATAGATTATTACATGAACAAATTCATCCATCATCAAATAATTCATCATGGAATCGTCGTCAAATTATTTATTATTATCGTCTATATTTAGGACAAGATTTTTATTTTGATGGACATGATCTATCACATCAACAAGCTCGAATAAATTGTGCTTATCATGCTTTAAATTTTATACATCAAAATGAAAAATCTATTCTAATGTCTCTACCATCAACATCAACACAAGTAAAATATTTTCTTTTTGTTTATATTCAAAATAATAATAACAAAAAAAAAAAACAATTTTTGTAAAATTATTTTTTTTTTTAGACTCAATCAAAATCTTACATATCACTTATGTATGAACGTGCTAAACAACTTGGTCTTATTATTCAAATGGAATATAATGAACCATTAACAATAACATATCATATTGGTGAACAATATTCAACAACGGGTACTGGTCAAACAAAACATGCAGCTAAACTAATAGCAGCTGAAAAAATGTTAGAAATTTTACCATTACCAACTGAAAATGATAAACAAAAACAAAAACAAAATCGTAAACATAGTAGTCAACATAAAAAATTTATTGAACAAAAAGGTTTAAGTAATTATAGTATAACAGAAAAGATTAATCCAATAACACGTCTTTATCAAATAGGACGTGCACGTAATATAAATATTGAATTTATTGAATTAGAATATTTAAATGATGAAAAAAATTTTCATTTTCATGTTAAATTTGGTGAGAATGATAATGCTGATGGTTATGGTAAAAATAAAAAAATAGCAAAACAATTAGCAGCTGAAAATTTACTTTCAAAATTAAATCCAGATATATTAGAATCAATTAGTATATCAACATCATCATCATTACCTATACAACCAATAAAAAGTTTACTTAAACGTGATGAAAATATAAATAAACAACAACAACAACAACATGAAAAAAAACATGTTCATTTTATTGAAGATGAAATAATTCAACATGAAAATAATACAAATAATCATCAATCATCAATAACTATTAAACAACAATTAATAAATGCATGTGAAAAATTAAATATTAATATTCAATATGATGATCAAATTAATACAAATAATAATAATAATAATAATAATCAATATGAAACATTATTAACTTTATCAAAAGATGATCGTCTTCTTGCACAATTTCGTGCCAATGCTTCATCATTAATACATGCACAAGAAAATGTTTCATTAACAGCTTGGAAAAATTTACAACAATTATTTAATGGTTCTATTCAAATACCAAAAACAACAATCAAAAAACGTTATCGTCAATTACAAACATCAATACCTGTAAAACAACAATAATGAAAAACTATAGAATTTGTTTTGTTTGTGATAGTTTTCTTTCTTTTTGTTTTGTTCTCTTTAAAAGTTTTGCAAAACGATTATTATTTATAAGGGTGTACCGAGATGATCTGATGATCAGATATCATTATTTAACACTGTTTATTTGTCTTTATTTTATTTATCTTCTCTATATATTTCTTTTTGTGTGAAGCTTGTATTGATATCATTTATTAAACATGACATTAAGAAAATATCCAAATATAAAAGAGAACATGATTTTTTTTTAATCATTTATTTAGATAAATGACTAATGATGAGATCATATTTTATAATAAAGAAAAACTAAGATTTGATGAATTATTAAGTCAACTTGATTGGACAGAAGAGTGTTTATTGAAAGAAGTATGTTTTTGAAATAAAATTTTCCAATGAAAAATAACGATGATTTTAGCAAGAAACATTAATTCAGTGTCCATTTGATCGAGGACATCGATTTCCAATAAGATCAAAACATGTACAACATTGTCAATTAGTAAAAGAAGGATTTTCTAAGGAATATCTAGTAAGCAAAAATTATCTTTTAAAAACAAAAATTTTTTATATATTTATCTATAGAACGAATTAGCTGAATGTGAACAAGAAAAACAATTACTTAATCAATCTGGTATTTTATTTACTCCATCAAAACTTAGTGATATTGTTCATCGACCTATAACAATTACAAATAGTAAAAAAGAAAACCGTTCAATTATTGTTATAATCCCTATTTCAAAAGTCTTTGCACAACATGTTTGGTCAATTTTTGTCCATATATCCGTTTGTAGAGTGATACTTGCTCTAAAAAAAATATCCAATCTACTTCTCTTTTTACATAGTGTTAAAATGATCGAAATCACTTACATTCCAAAATACAAAAATTCGAAGAAAACGGTTTCTTTTTTTTGAAATAGATCTTTTCATGAAAAGAGTAACTGTTCGAAAAAATTGTTTATATCTTTGGATTTTTCTTAGTTCTAATTTTCTTTAATACATGAGTTCATAGATAATTGAATTCTCTACAATAGTAATAAGTTCAAACAATCCAACAACGTCATTCAAAGAGGTTACGCATAACAGAAAAAAAGTTCATTTTACATAGTACAAGTAACATCTTTAAATTACTTAAAAATTTATTCATAACTTACCGCTCATAAATCAAAAGTAAAAAAATCTAAAAATAAATTTAGAAAGAGCATGTAATTCTAATTGTAATTGGCTGCTTTTCATCATCTTCAATAATATCTAAGTGTTCGAAAAATGACTCAACATATTAACAAACATCATTTTATTTACTACTTTGTATCAACATCATTTGCATCTATCATCAATTTTTTTTTTTCAATAAATTAATTTTAACTCATAAAAAGTGATCTAAATTTATAGTTAGATAGAGCATAGAATTTTGATGCTAGATGGCTACTTTTGATATTCTTCGGAGAGTAATTTCTGATGGAATGAAATTTGATCAGATATATTGTACAAAGATTTTTCTAATACGAATTATTTTCTTTCAGTTGTTTTCTTTTTAAAGATATTCCGTTAAGTATTGAACAAACAACAATTCTATTTTCACCTGATGAACGATCTTTAATTGCTCAAGCTGTACATAATGAAGCTTTGGGTTTGGGTATTGTACCATCTACACCACATTCTATCATTGACAATCAACCAGTTCAATCTCAAAGTTAGATATTTTTTAATTCTAAGATTAATTTGTTAATACTCTCTGTTTATATCATAGATTCCAATATTTCTCAACAATTCAATAAATTAACTGAATTACGTGATCAAAAGCGACGTCGAACTAAATATGTAACTAGAACAATAAAAAAAACTTGTTATGATGTAAATTCTTTTTTTTTTATTGTTTACATTTCAATAGAAATATAATATAAATCATATTTAGATTGCTCGTGATATGATCAATAATGGAATGGAATTCATTCAACAAGTTAATCATCAAATAGATTCGAGTCAAACAAAGTAAATTTACATTTTTATTATGATTTAAAATGATAAAAAGAAAAATAAATAAATAAATATTCGTATAATTTATAGGCATGACAAAGATCAATCAAAACAACATAAACATAAACATAAACATCGATCATCATCGAAAAGGAAACGTCGATCTAGTCATAGTCATAGTAGAAAACATCATCGACATTCAAAAAAACAACGAAGAAGTTAAATTAATATTTTGTTTGATTGTAAAAATTTCAAAAAAATAAAAAATAAATACTTCTGAAGATTTATTTTCACATAAAGTTTCAAAAGAGCTATAATCAAAACAAATATTATATGAATTAAAAATGCAAAAAACAAAAAAAAACTAAAACATTCAATATTTCATCATAGATCATATATAATATATTCTTCTTGTTGATGATCAAATTTCAGATGAGAAATTAAGTATTTTAATTAAAAAGATATCGTTTTATAAATATTTTTGAAATTTTTATAGATAAGAAATTTAAAATAATATTTAAATTAATTGAGTAATTTACTAAACAACTGTTGTTATATAGAAAAAAAAATTAATTCTCATCTTCATATTTAACATTCGTTTTGTGTAACTCACACATGTTTTCGAAGAAAACAATGAGTGTAAGTTTTAAATCAAAATTGTGCTATTCTTCCTCCCTATTATAGCCTTTAGCAACGTAGATTATAGGTCCTCAATGATATTGATAGAAAAAACTTAAAAAGTTCCACAGCTTTTTTTAGAATTTCAATGACTGGAATACGTTTTTCAATACTATAAATAATACAATTTCTGATTGTTGTGCAGATAAATGATTATATCATAAACATCAAGAATGACGTTTTGACTTCACACAACTGTTATATGGCCAATACACGAATATGAACTGATAAAGTTCTAACTGTCAATAATAATCAATATCAGTGTTTTTGAGTTCATCGAGATACATAATAAATCATTAAGATCTGCTACAGATATAACAAATGTGTACAACAGGCATATGCCGATTAAATCAATGTTTAGACCGATAATAATTAACGATAAAAATGAACTAAAAAAAGGCATAACGTTTACTGACAATCGATTATCGTGGAAAAAGAACTATCGTCTTGTAGAGATTTTATACGTTTTATGTATTTTGAATTAGTATAATAAAGCTAAAGAAGACATGTAACTTCCACATTTCAACTCGATAGAGACTACGCTAACAAATCTTTTTTTCAGTAACCTTTAATTTCTTATAATATGCATCAAGTATAAAAATTTTATATTATTTCTTGTAATAGATTTTTTTTGCTTAGATATTAACTTGAATTTATCAAAATATATCATTATGGAAAACCTTGTAAATTTATTTAGGAATTTTCAAGTATGATCAAGAACAAATGTCATAGATTAATCTATATGTCACTCGCTTTAATAAATATGTTTATTTGAATCACGCTTATTGTCCAGACATTAATGACAAGTTTTTCTAGGCATGACAAATCTCTATAATACATTACGCATGACATATTGAAATATCGACAACATCTCACAAAATCAAATTCAATAACATTTGATTGATATTTTTTTAATGATAGATTTTTTCCTTGTTTTTTGTTTCTGTAATGAGTACATATTTCTTGGCCACGCGTACATAACGTCAACGTATGCATTTTGTTGACGTGGCAAAGAAATTACGCAATATGACCACGTCTACAGAACTTCTTTTTTTTTCTATATATAAAATTTAAACTAAATCAAAGAAAATCACTATAGTTCATATTCCAATTTAAATTCAAATATGTGGTCTATACTAACACGGATACGAGATTTCATTACTGAATATACATGGTTTTGGTGGTCATCAAATGATTCAAAATCGAATACTATACTTCTTATCGGTCTCGATGATGCCGGTAAAACAACATTAACTGGTCGTTTAACTCAAAATCGTCTTATTCAAGCACCACCAACAAGTCAACCATCAAAACATGAAATTAAAATTGGTTCAACTCTTTTAGCTATAACTGATGTTGGTGGTCATAAACAAGCAAGACGTTTATGGCGAGATTATATGTTTTCATCAACACGTCTTATTTTTATGATTGATGCAAGTAATCGTCAACGTTTAACTGAAGCACGTTATGAATTATTAAATATATTAAATGATGATGATATGAAATCTATGCCTTTATTAATTCTTGCTAATAAAATTGATAATATTGATACAGCATATAGTGAAAATGAATTAAGATATCTTCTTCAGATAGAAAAATATTCTAATGAAGAAAATCCTCGAATTAAATTATGTATGTGTAGTATTAAAAGAAATGAAGGTTTCACTGATGGTTTAAAATGGCTTATTCAACAACCGATTAAATCAGAGGATTAGTCAATATGATTATTATTATTATTTTGTTTTTGAAGTTTTTATATTTTATATTACATAATAAAAAATTTGTATACTTGATGTATATTTTAAATTTTAGCAAATATTTCAGAAAAAAAATCAACTTTGTACTCTTGTTTCCTAACCGTATATCTATTTTTTTTTTTATATATGAATAGTTTCAAAAGGAAAAGAATAAATAGAACAAAAAAAAAAAAAAGAATTATTAATTTTGATGAAAATGACATGTAATTTCTTCCTGTAATAAATATCAAGACTTTACATGAGATCAGAGAATTTCATTTTGTTCCGTGTCATTAACAAGTTCAATTTTTATTCATTAAGATAAAATTTCTTTTGACATATTTTCTTCATTAGGTAATCTAGTATATCTAAGATTATAAAAACGTAACAGTCGTTGATAATGACCAATGTAATTAAACCAAGGATGTATTTCCTTGAGTCGTTTGGTTTAAAAGTAGCTCGCTGTTATCTTTTGACACTTACTGACATGTGTAATTGAATGCCAATCTTTTTTTAACCTAGTTATCCAAAGAATGCTTCTGTCTTATCTAATCATCAAAATAAAAGAATTAGAAAACTAATGGTGATGTTAATGTGATTCTGCAACTACAAAAATTAACTCATATAAAATGTGAAGAATGTGTTTTTTTTTTTAATTCTATTTCAAAAAATTTACACTTAACCTTATCATATATTTATGTAAGTACGTAATAATATTTTCGAAATACAAGTATTTCTACTTGACTACCTTATTTAATCAATTTATCAAGCATCATAAATCATCAAATCAATCGAATAATAATAATAATATTAATATTAATCATCAACTATCAATATTGATCATTTGTTTTCTTCCTCTTCCTATAGACATGAATATCAATAATAAAAATTATTTCAATTTAAACTTTTATTTTATTTTATTTTTCTTTTCTCTTCGTCTTCTTCCTTTCATCTTCTTCCTCTCTACAATTTGTCGTCAAAGTTCTGTTTTTCTATTTCTCTGTTTTAATCACATCACAAGTTTCAACAAAAGAAGAAAAAAAGAGATAAAAAAAAAGAAAAAAAAAAACCAGGAGAAAATATTTACAGGAGAAATAAAATTATATAGACAGATGTGCTGCGCGCATCGCATCCTACAAGAAAACGTGCAAAGAAAAGCACACATACTAAGCCAAAGAAATGACCTGAGAAGTTAACAAACAAACTCACACATAAATAAATGAACAAACCGGATCAAAAAAAAAAAGAAATAGTCATATTATATATATATATATGTATATGTATAGATTTATATGTATATGTATATATATACTATTGTTGCATATATAGTTATTTAATTGTATTAGTTGATGATGTATTTGAACAAGACCGAGAATTTGATTTAAAAATATTAAAATGTTTCGATAATGTTCCTTTTTTATTTGTTGTTAAACATTGTTTCGGTGATATTGAACAAGATGATGCACCATCAATAGATGATGATGGTGAAGAATTTTGTTGATTTTGTGGTGATGATGAATATGAAACAGTTTGTTGATTTGATGAATGTTGATTTAATGTTGTTAATAATGTATTTCCATTATTATTATATTCATTTAATGATGATGATAATGATGATGGTTGTTTTAATGGACATATTCTATTTGCATGATATTCATTAGGTGGTGTGGAACTTTGTGAATAATCATCACGATTATAAACAGTATATATTGTACATTTATCAAACATTGATAATAAACGTTCAACTTCTTTCCCAGAACGACGTAAAACATTAACACCTTCAATTGCATATATATATTCATTGATCTTTTAAAAAAGAAAAAACATGTATTTATATTAATTCAAAAATAAAATCTTCTTTTTTTCTCTTACTCGAATTCCTGATGTATACGCAGAACCATATGGATCCAGTCGTTCAACATAACATGGTCCATCACCATTAAGAATTAATCCATAACCACGCCGATCACGTTTCAGCTATTTAATTATAAAATAAATTACAAATTTTTTTTTTCTTTTTGTCAACTTACTGAATAACTTTTCCAACACCATGGTAATTCTAATCTTTCAAGTTCATCAGCTGTTGGACGATTTTCTATATAATAATAATAATTATGATGATTGATTTTAAAAATTTTTTGATTATCTTACCTGAATTAGCTGGTGAATTTAAACTAGCAGATTTTTTTCTTCGAAATCCTTCATTATTTGTTACTGTACATGTTAATTTAGTTGTACAATCTATATCATCTCCATTTGATATTCTTCTATTTATTTGTGGTTCATCATTAACTAATGAATTATTACTACTTGTTGGTCCAGATAATCGATGTCGTCGTATATTTGTTTGTTGCATTAAAGATGATGAATGAAATGTTTCAGTAGATGGTAACATACGAGAATAATACTGATGGCAACAGTTGCTCGATGGTAGTAGTGGTGACAGTTTGTTTAATGGATCATTACAATAATAGTTACTTAGTGTTCGATTAAGAGAATTTTGAGTTTGTATCTGATGTATTGATGATGAACGATCAGCTAGAGAAAAAAAAAATAATGTTATGATTTGATTTTATGTTGTTCTTTTTTTTTTTTGTTTTTGTTGAAGATTTTATTTAAACTTACGACATGATACACTAACAAATGAATTTGATGAATTTCGATTTAGTAATGGTGAATGATTTATTGGTGATGATACTAATAAAGTATCATGTTGCATTAATGCAATAAGATCAAGACGTTTATCAGCTAATAAACGATGTGAATTACTTAATATATATTGATGATTACTATCATTATGAAATTTATTTGTAGAACAAGAACATTCTGGTTGTTGATCACATTCATCTAGAAAAAATGAAAAATAAATAATAATAATAATAATAAATAGAATTTATATTATTTAAAAATTACCAAATCGAACGAGACCATACATAATCATATCATCAGCAATACGTTCAACATTTTGCATATTTGTACCACTACGAAATGCAATCATACGAGCTAAATTATCACCTTTAAGTACTATTCCAGGTTGTTCACTATAAGGATTTGTTAACGGTACTTGTTGTTGTAAGTCTACACCGCGACATTGACTTTTATCAAGTGTAAATAAACTAAAAGATAATTGTTTTTTTTTTATTTTATAAAACAACAAAAAAAAAAGAAAAACTTCTATAGAAAACCTACCTGGTATATGTTTCATAAATAGAAGCAAATTGTTGAAATGATCGATTATGATCAGCTGTACCATCATCAAGACGAAAACGATATAAATATTTAACATTACTAATTGATGACGATCCTGATGATGGATATTCAAACTCATTTAAATCATAAACTAAAATATTAAAAAAAAAAAACAATATTGTCATATCATATTTGAGATCAACGTCATGCCTCTTTACTTTTTCTAATTATATCAATATTCTCTTTTTTTCTTTCTATGCAAAAAGAAGTGACACATATCGCCTCAACAATTTTCATTATATATTACAAATTAGTTCACGTTGACCTAAATTTTTTTGTAGTTTTTTTTTTCTTCTGACAATCTCTTAAGGCTATCGATCGAACTAGCAATAGTAGGAAAGAAAAAAAAAAAGCAATTACGCGCTTGTGCTTCCGCATACACATGCAAAATTAATAATGAATGGAAGCAAAAGAAGAAAAAGAAAAAGAAAAAAACAAAAAAAAAAGAAAAAGAAATTTTTCTTCTGGCTGTATGCCAAAAATCTCTTACCATGATGAATAATTTTTAATTTTTCTAAAACTTGAAATATTTCTAAACCATCATCAATAGTTTTACATAATTGTTTTTTTATAAGCCAATCAATTGCTTCACATGAATGAAAACAATTATGAAATAATGAACGTGGATTATTTTTATCATTTATATAAGCTGAATATGAACGATGAATTAAGTTTTCTTCTCGCATTCGTTGTCTAAAAAAAAACAAGAAATACAAAATAAGGTTAATTGCTTGACAATGTTTAATAATGTAAATAGTAAAACAATATATCTATGTATATATATCTATGTATATATATATTTGGACAACTCCCACGAGAAATAAAAACATGTCTTACTCATCGATTAACAAGGAATAAAACTAAGCTATTAAGATAAACGTTCATCAATAAAGCTCAATAACGAAAAAACAATATATACTAAATAAAAATTTTTACCTTAAATGTAATGCTGCTGTATATAAATCAACTAAATATTTAATATTTGAATTATTATCAATAGATAAATTTTGATCATCAATATGATGAGAATGATTATGATTATTATGTGTTGTCATTGTATAATCATTAGGAGACATTTTAATAGTGTCGTTATCTTCACTACTTTTTATCGTAGTGTCTTGACATATAAAATTGTTTGCCGTCGTCGTTATTGTTGATTTCAAAGGATTATTTAATGCTAAAAAAATTAAAAAAAAAAAAACAACAAAAATTTTTTGTTTTATTGTAATTTTAAATTCTTTTTTTTTTTTTTCTTTCTTTTGCTTCACTACAGACAATGTATACACACAAATATACACACGTCAGCATATACTCACGAGCGCACTACTTCTACCCATTCAGTATGTGTATGTGTCTCGCCTTTTGCAATCGGCTCAGTATGCGTGTGGGCATGCGCGCGCGCGCGCTTGCTCGCCTTCGCCGAATAAGAAAGTAGAATAAGCATTCTCGTTCTTTTTCTTTTTTTCTTCTGTTTTTTTTTTTTCCTTTTCCCTTCATCGTCATGAATTGATGAAGGAAGAGAGAAAAACAGAACGAACCCATCATCCTCTTTTTCTCGCAACTACTTCCCCTCTCTGTGCTCTTTTCTTCTTTTCTTTTCATCACCCACGCAAACACAAGTTACATACCATTCGGATGATTCTTCATCTTTACGCAAGAACAATAACTTAATACATAAAGATAAAAAAAAAGTTTTTTTTTTTTTCTACTCTTTATAATACGATATGTGTACAGGGTCAAATCAAATGAAAATGATATGATGATAATAATAGATAACTGACAGTTTATTTCATCGACCCCATCGGTTATCTTTTCTTTTTTTTTTTTTATTCTTCTATATGAACAGTTAGATATATATCGATGATTCAAGGCATCTATTCAGAATTGAATATAGACAGTTCTTTATATCTGTCTAGTCGTCTCGACAGTCAGTTAGAGTCTTTATTTAAATCAAAATTTATTTACGTTTTTCTCTTTTTTTTTTCTAAATTTAAATGTCCTCAGTCACCCTCAAATGATGAATGTACATACATTAAAGATAAAGCATGAACAAGTATAATAAAACAAATTAAAGGTCAAAGAAGCAATAAAAAAAAACCCAAATTTCCGTTTTTTTTTTTTTTTCGTGTACTAATCGGACTTATTCTTATTGACTCATAATACATGTAGTATTTGATTTCATTCGAAAGATAAAGTTATTTGATTCCGAAAAAAAATAAATATATTGAAATATGATAAACATAGACAGGAATAAAAAAAAAACCGAAAATTTAAAAATTTAGTTATTTTTCTTTTCTTTTCTTTTTCTTTTTTACCTTTTTTTCTGCTATTAAAAGTTCAGTTGAATTGTTGTTATTATCTGACCGTATTGAACGTGCCTTTATGGCAAGAAGAAGAGGAGGAGAAAAAGAAGATGAATCGATTCTTTATTCAATGTCTCTCACGTTTTCAAATAAAATGAAATAGATGCTCACACTCGCTTGTCCTCATCACACCGTGTCTGTATGAATGTATGTGTGAGCGCGCGCGCGCGCGCATCGAAAGAGAAAAAGATGCGAGATCGTGAGAAAATGCTCGCTTGCACTCTTGGCGCATCAATAGCGAACAAGAAGAACAAGTCAAGGTAGATCAATATCTGCTTTGGCACAGATCCAGATACACACACACACACACACTCATAAGAACAATGCATACCAGATTTCTTTTTCTATATAAACTATATGTTATCAATATTGATGATATGCATTTACGGACAGATTTTTCATCGTTGTAATTTTTATCTTCTACAAAAGTATAGTTCTAGTGCCTCTCAAGTATTATGATGAGTATTGTGGGAAAGCAAAATGTATTGCATTTGTCGACACTCATGTGATTTTGTTTAGTTTTTATGTCCAAAAAGTAGGATTCTTCTCATTGTCTATTGACAACAATCGTTCTTATCTACTCAATTTTATATATACTCAATACTTACCATAGAAATTTTTGTTCACTACTGAATTGTCACTACGATTCATCGTAGTAAGTTATAGTAGTAGTAGTAGTAGTAATGATTTGTTGTATTATATGCGCAGAATGAATGAATAAATAAAAAGAAGAAAAACGACTGGAGATGAGTCAGAGAACACATAAGTACAAATCAATGAACTTTGTCTTCTTTTTCTTAGCTTTTTTTCTTCATCTTCTTCTTTATAACAATGCGCTACGATTTGGCTATTTGCCAAACAGACAAATAATGAAATAGTTAACGAGAAAGCAACACGATATGAATGAATCAAATTATTGTACGATAGAAATGATGTATGTCCATAGTAAATCTCGTATATATGTGTTCTTTAATTATTCTGATGATTGTAATGACAAAAAGAAGAAAAAAGAAAAGAAAAGATGGAATAAGACAAGTAAATATAATTATAAAAGTTGATGACAAATAAAATGATTCTATAAATGATTAATAATATTATTTGTTCAAAATATTAAAACTATTTTCATAGATGAAACAAATGAAGAAAAAAAAAAATGAAAACTGAAATCTACTCGCATGAAAAAAAAACGTAACAATCAGTGTCGTTATTGATATTCTATGTAACTTACTCGTTTGTTCTTTTCTAAATGAATGAGAACTCTTTTCATCACTTATTTTAAGTCACTCGTTTACTCACTTACTCACTCAATCTTGAGATGCCTTTAAGCATTCTTTTTACTTTATGTCGACTAGTGACAGTGTACAAAAGTCGTTGTTCTATAAGCGGCACTTTGTCTTTTCTACCATTTAAACGGTGAGTATATGACAATAGAATATGTCTTCTGGCATTCAATAAGTGTGTTTCTCTATGTGTGTGACTGATAATCTTATCGTTATATTTTGCATGCCGACACTATTTAGTACCATAAATTTGAGTGATGAACAACGGCAATATATTCCAATTTTGAATGAAAAAAATTTCTTTTTTTCTTTGTTCTATTTCGGATTTTTTTTCTCTTATGCATGAATTACTATTGTTGTAACAATAAAAATGACTTTCTTCTATAGTACAAATTTACTTTAATTAAGAAAAAAGTAGCAATTATAAAAAAAACAAGGATGGAAAGGATTTAAACAATAATAGTATGACCTTATTCTTTTTAGGAACATTTGTACAGGTACATACTTAACGACACATAAGGGTGTACGTAAGGGAAATATTTGTATTTCTTCATGTCAAAATAGTAGAGAGAAAAAAGAAGTACCTTCGTATCAAAATGAAAACGACTTTTTTTCCTTTCTTTTTTCGTTCAAGTGTTAAATATACATACGGACGATACATGTAGAAGATGCTTCTTAGGTTTCATGTACAATTTTTTTCAAAGTATATAAATGAATTGACAGAGATGAAAAGAACTGAAACCATAGTACATCATCGTACTAAGAAAATACAGAGTTTCATTAAAAAAATTGATTCACATCGAATGAACGAAGAAACAAAAAAATTTCTTGTCATTACCGTTGGGAATACAAACATAAAATTCGATTGTATACACAAATACAGAGGTTATAGGTGTCGATATTTACAATGCTTCGGTTTCATATTTCAATATCTTGTAATCGATTACTTTTGGAAAAAAGAAAAGAAATAAGGTATTGAAGAAGATATTTGATAGTTTGATGACAAAAAAAAAAAAAAGAAATCATATGATTTTGTTTTATATCGAAAATCTAGATACATGCAGTCTATTGGTAATTGTTTTCTGACTCAAGGTTATATTGTAATGTCTATCGAGACTTGTTGACGTATTCGATCAATCAGGCGTCTTTCAATAAATATATTGCTTGGTAGATGAGATGATAAGAACAACAATATTTTTATACATTTGGAAAGATCATCTCACACAAATGCTATCTATTATAATGATATACATATTTTCGAATTATCCTATACCCCTAGAAAATATTAAATATATATTAATTGATATTTTGAAAGAAAAATAATATTTATTAATTTTTATTTTATTGAAATGTAAATAATTGATATTAAATGTACATAAAAGAAAGAAATGAAATTTTTCACTAACAACTATTCTTAATGATTACCGAACACATAGACTTATATATTTATATATATATAGTATTCCCAAAACTAATACAATTATAATTATCTCTTATGCTGCCGTTTCTTACAACAGTTTCGATCTCATCGTGTGAATATAAAAGACAAATTCATATGGGTACACACACATACATATTTTCTCTCGTTTCCTTTTTTTTTCTCAAGGGAAATCATACTAGCCAATGGCGGCATTTACATTTAAATGAATGAACGTTGGCTTCGCTCCATCAGTACTACGAAGAAAGCGGCATAAAAAAAAGAGAAAAAAAAAACTATGTACTTGAACGTATCAATGCCAGACGTACTCATATTTACTTTAAAGAGCAGTAGAACGACAGACGAATAATCATTATTATTTTTTCTTTAGTGTAGTTATTTTTGTTGTTGTTATTGTTGTTGCTACCACTTCTCAAGGAGCAAACAACAGACGCAAAAAAAAAGAAAAAAAAAACGTAAAGTGTATGTATATGTGTTCTTTTCCTTGAAAATGTTTCTCTGATATAATATCAACAAAATGATATAAGTGCATTCATTTGACGATAATGAAAATAACGATTGGCATTTTACGCCTAGGAAAGGACAGGTGCAATAGATTCTCTGATAAACATATACTCCTACATATAAGCGTCATTCACTTGTAATAGTAGGTCAATATTTGAGCTGATGTGAGAATAAAGAGAAAAGTGTATCACCAAAAATGCGAAAACATACGTCAATGTCTGATGGATGGCACATCTAAACAACCTCAGACATTTAAATGATCACGACTTAATGCTATCCATTCTTGCGACAATCAATAGCTGTTTTTTTTTGTATTATGTCTTATTATCATATGTACGTGTAGTTATTAATAGATCTTTTTTTTTTTCTTCTACATCAACAAGTGGGACAATATGATGCCATAGAAGTTAGAAAAGCAACAAAAAAAGCTACTAGTTTGTCTATACTGGTTGCTATTAAAAAGTCGATAAAAATAATAAAAAAAACTCCGACTCGAAAAGGATTATTTCGTCGATGAAAAAAACTTGAAATAAAAATTAGGACAATTGATATCGCAAAAAATCAATATTACTAAAGAACACATCTGGCAAAAACGAAGGCAATTATCAAAAGATAAAAAATTTCAAATAAAAAAAACAAAAAAGAAAAATATATACTAAAAAAAAATGTGAAATACTTTTCAGCATAATAATATAAAATCTAGTAAACTGACAATATTTTAAATTTACTTGATATAGATATATATTTTTATGAAACTTAACGATAATAAAGCAATAATGTAAAAAGAAAAATAATTTATTTGGCAATTAGTAAGAAAAATAATGATATTTTTTTGTGTCAACTAACAGAAGAAATTCATGTAAGAAATCATCGAAATTGATTTTATTTTGATTCAATAGCAAATCAAGTAAACAAATTTGCTGTCGAAATATAAAATACATCGCACGTTATGTAATAACGTATTTTCATGATGAATTTGTTTTCTTTTTGCAGATGTAACTGTCAGTCAAACAAAAAACATCTATGGTTATTACTCATGAGAAATGAAATTCTAAGTGATTCATTTGAGTCATGTTATGACATGTCTACTATGTAATAAAATAGTAAGAGACAGTCACGATGCAAAAGAGGATTATGTTCATAGATAAATGATTGATGAATAAATGGTAATAGTTTATGTGCGACAAACGGCACACAACTATAAAAATGAAAGAAAATATCATCTATGAATGCGGAATTCCAGCAATTATAGTGGAAAAAATCCAAGACAAATGCATCGTAAGAATATTTACATGAATGAAATTACACAATGAAGGAATGAAAGTGCAACATTTGAAATTCACATTATTTGAAATAGCAGTTCTATTTCGATTATGTTTACTATTATAAAATTTCATAATAACTCATTCACACTCGATAACTTACCCTCATGCATATTTAGAAAACAATGATTATCGTTATGATTATGACGTGTTGTTTGTCTCATGTGAACTGAATGAAGATTGCTGAATGAATGTGAATTCACTATGTTTTTCTTGTTCCTTTCTTTCTTTTTTTCTTTCTTTCTTTGTTTCTTTCTTAGTACGTCTCACTTGCTTTTTTTTTTTTTTTTCATCGACAAGAATAGTCAGATGCATCAAGTACGAACGGTAAAATGAAAGGAAAAGAAAGAAAAAGAGAAAGCATGTGTGAGCAAACAAATACGGTGGGTGGTAATTAGGTGACGAGCACGAGCACTTGCTTGACGTCGTTGTTTTTGTTGGTGATGTAAACGACGTAAAAAAGAACATGCGCTCAATAGAACAATGAGAAAGAAAGAGAATGATTAAAGGGGGAAAAAAAACTTATATTCTTTTTCCATCGAATATTAAAAATCACCTGATTCAATGAATGACATAAAAACTGGTAGAAAAAAAAAAAACAAATCAAGTTATACTAGTTATTCACAAGCAAATATTATTGAAGATAAACAAATATTGTCCGATAAAGTAACAATTGAATGTTTCTGTCTTTTTTTTTTCCTATCATTTTAACATTCCAACTATATGATAATGTTTGTCATTATTATAAGAAAAATAAAATGCAATACTACTTCATAAACATATAAAAATCAGACAAGACCATATCTAATATAAATTTCATGGGTTTTTTTTTTTTCATTTCTTTTCATGCAAATATACGTATGTCTACTATTGATGAAATATAATACAATACAAAATTAAGTAAAAAGAAACCTACATCCTGATATTACAAATTATGATATGGAATATAATTTCATAATTACTGATCTTGACATCAAGATTAAGATTTATTCAGATAATAAATGAAGAAGTTTCAGTTAAATACTATTTTCATTTATTGAAAATGATATAAATAAACATTTTTTGACATATAAACAATACTTGAATGCTTATGTTAGCATTTGTTCCTGTACAAAACTTCTGTCCATCAATAAATTTTCTTAATGATTAAAGATTCATCAAGAAATCTAATAATATAAATGATTAATCTTGATAATTATTTTCAGTTATGAAAATTCTCATAGGAAATGATTGCTAAAGCAAAAAAAAATAACTAAAATTCATTTCCTAAACAATAATTCAATTTAAGACAACTTAAACAATGATCTCTTTAGTACAAGATAATGCTAAATAGAACAGTTAAGGTGACCTAGACAAAGAATGTTTTGTAGGTCGAATCAATGTTTGCATTAAAATTGTTTATTTATCTTTCTACAGACTTTTAGATAACATTCTTTTTTTAACAATTTATTTCTAATCAAATTTCTGGTTTCTATATTTAAATACAAATGAATCAATTTATATAAATGTAGAATACACATGAAACTAAATGATTCTCTACTATTTCCTCACGTTAATTAGAACATGTTCTATAATGTTCATTTCAACAGGAAAATAGGTACATTATTGTAGATGATCATGTCTAGTTAATAGACGTTATTATATCTACTTAATAAGAGACGCATAATCTTCATAATATACCCATTACATTATTTTTGCTAATAAAAGAAATAATAATGGAGCCATTTGCGCATGAGCACATACATACACATAATTATAGAGAATTCTTTAACGAATAAATATATAGATGTTTCCAGTAAATAGACAGTTGATTGACAACTGTTGAGTGAATCACTTATGAATACAATGACCGTTTCATATAACTCGACCATAAAGGATAACAATCATAACCATCTAGGTTAATCATCATCTTATTTTAAAGTTCTTGATATTTATATTAGTAGACGTCATCGGGATAAAAGCATGGGTTTTCTATGAAACTAAATAATATTCTATTAGCGTATCAAAAATAAATAAATCATTAATTGGATCGTATTTATCATAGAATTCCTAGGCAAATACATTGTTCTATATTAAACTATTAGATATCGATCAACAAAAAAAAAATATATATATATATATTTCTTTAAATAGATCTCGGTGAATAATTTAGATTGATATGTCTATTTAAGTTATAGTTATATAACTGTTATTCACAAAAAAGAAACTGATATCTATTTTTATCAAAATTATTTGCACTACATGTATGTCTATTGACATTAATTTACGTATTTAACATAATGTATTTTAACAGTTGTTTACCAACTTTCTTCTTTTTTTTTTTTTATATCAAAGAAAAAAAAAAACATGAATATTTGTATTATAATAAAATAAAATAAAAACTTACTAGAAATATTTTTATATTTATTTGTTATCATATTGGATATGTTATATTGATGATGATATTTTATAGTAGTTTTAGGAAAAACTAATGTGTCATTTGTTTGTTCAACCAAATATGATACATGATATAAAAGGTTTTTTACAGAGAATATCATGACAAAGAAGAAAAACCAACAAAAACGACGACGAATAAAACAATATGAATGAAATGAACTGGAATGATGTTAGTTTACTCGAGGGAAAGTCAAAAGAAACAAAACAGAAGAAATGATTATTTTATATTTCGAGAAAGACAAATATAAGAATCGATTAAGCGGCGTGCGTACTATCGGCGTTTTATTACCTTGTTTTATTTTTTCTTTCTTATATGAACGAGATCATTGTGTACCTCGATTTAACTATGAATTCAATAAACTACGCATGTAAATTTTGACTATCTATGTATATATGTATCTCTACCGAATATATATTAGTTTATCTTTCTTCTTGAATATTGTTATTACAAAACTACGAAACATAATGGACGTCGTCGGATAACGATTATCTTACTTTAATATAAAGAAAAATAATGAGACAAAATTCATTTAATAGTACATTTTCCTTTTCTTATATTATATCCTAGTTAAAATAATTTTATTTCGTTTATTTATTTAATTAAGACAAAAAAAGAAAAATTTTTTATACTTTTTTTAATTGTGGTAAACATAAATTATAAAAAGAACTTGATACAAAATCATCCGGTACATTATACCATTTTAAATAGTTTGTTTCACGTAATTTATTTATCGATGTAAAACTTGGACCAGAGTAATGAGGATCCTGTATAAGAAAATTAAACTAAATTATTCATATAACTATTTATATTTGATTAATTTAAATATTTTACAAGTATTAAAAGTTGTTTATTCAATCGTACAGCAAGAATACATTTTGAAGCAGCATCAGCATCACCACCCATCATTACAGGTGAACCAAAATCATGAAAATGTTTCGAAAGTAGATTCATATAGTTTAAAAGATTATATCCATTAGATATATGAATAATTTTACAATCAACCTAAATCAATTCAAATTTAATATAAAAAATTAAGGAAAAAAAAAAAAACTTTTTCTCGTTTCAAAAAATAATTTACATCATAAAGTTGATTAAGTATCATTGTTGCTTCACATGTACCAATCCATTGATTTGATTTAATAAATGATAGAGGTTTATCTTCAAGTTCAACAAGAATTTCTTGAATTTTAGTTATAGAAGGAACTATAGAAGTTGAATATTCTTCTTTAATATTAATTATCCATGAACATAATGTTTGTAATGTTCGATATCCACAACCCCAACCACAATCATCTTGACCATCACATTTATAATGATAAAAATACAAAGTACCACGTACACTATCGATAGTTTCATTAGTTTCATCAAGAATTTGATCAATTTTAAGTAGCATCTAAAAATCATTGAACATTTCTTTTTTTGTCACAAATCTTCATAATTGCGCTTTCTATTTCTTTTTTTTTTTGAATAATCATAATTTGTGTCTATTTAAAAAAAAAATCATTATAAAAATTTTATGTATTATGTAAATAAACAAATAATTAAAACATTTGAACATTTATTTAATTCATATTGTAAATATAATTCAATTCATAATTTAATATCATCACCAAGAAAATCTCGTATTTTATATCGAATTAATCAAGAAAAACTTATGAAATATTATTCTCAATATAATTCAAAATGTAATAATGAACATTTTATATCGAATGAAAATACAAATTTTTCTATTGAAGAAAAAAAAGAAAAACCTATGATACCAACAATAAAAATTTTATCAAAAAAAATCATTAATCAAAAGACAATAAGTACACAAACAGAATTTAATGAAAAAATTGATTCATCAACGAAATTAATTGATCAATCTGTAAATACTTTATCAATTATTTCCAAAAGTAAACAATCGATTATTTTACAATTTTTTTTGGATACTTTTATTCATTTATTTTGTTTTTAGTAAAAGGTAATTATTACAATGAAAAAGATACTGAACTAGTAAATACCTCATCATCATCATCATCATCGATTACTAATAAAACAACAGTAATAGATTCAAGTTCCTCAAGTACTCAATTAGATTTAAATAATGAAACAAATAGAAAAACAACACGAATGAAAATTAATTCAAACCAAATTCTGAATTCTGAATTCAATGATTATCCGTCTAAAACACAATCAAAAAACTGTCGTATTTATATTCGATCAATTGTACGACATATGTTAAATGATGAGATATCCGATGATGAACAATGTTGAATTAATTGATAATCGATCAATCTTAAAGACTAAAATAACTTTTCAATAGAGTACAATCTTAAATTATCAAAAACAAATAAAATTTCTATTTGAAATAATAGATTATCAAGTATTTTAACATCGTATTCGAAGTTAATAAAAATAAAACAATCATTTCTTTTTTTAATTTTAGAATTCAAGAATATAAACTTCACCGTGTATATGATTTACTGTTCATTGATTACATAAAAAATACAGTTCAAATAGTATTTCTATTTTGAGAGGATTTATTTTCTGTTGTTTATTTGAAAGAAAAGAAATACGCAACTAACGGTGTAGATGTGTATGGTATGAATGTGTGTAGGGTGTGGATGTGTGGGATATGAGTGTGCGTAGGGTGTGTGGGAGTATGAGTGTATGTTAAGTGTGGGTGTGTGTAGGCGTAGAAATGATACCGAATCGCACACACACTTACACCAATACGCTATTCTCTTCCACATCATCAAAGAAAAGTAAATTATCAGACGAGACACAAACGCTAATTAGAATATATTTTTTATGGAAATCACAGAGAGTAAACTCTGCAGGGCGTGTCAAAATTGTTTTCAAGAAAAAAAAAACCAATTAAAATTGAAAAATAATCAACAGACAGTTAATCCTGTATACGATTCCTTTTACATAAAATCCTTAATTTACATATTAAATCTACAACTAAAATTGCGATTCTTTTCCTATGCCATCAATGATGTCATTTTAGAACTCAAGTAATATTCAATATAATCAAAACTAAATAATTTTTCATCAGTTATATCTTTTTGTTTTCTGAAATAAAACAAAGAATTCAATAAACAAAAATGAATAAGTCAGGAAATAGTGAATATTTTTATTTTTTAAATATAAAATGAAATATTTCATACGAAATTATCATTATCAAAAAGAAGTCGTTCATTAGCATGACCCCATAAAGCTTGCTTTTCTTTACTTAATTGTACTTTTTTCATTAATAATTCGTTCATATGTGGACCAATATCACTAGCAATCTTTGGTGAACAAATAAAACAAAAAAATTTATTAGATTAATTCCTTTTTCTTTTCTATAAATAAAGCATACTTTTGCCATCGAACGAATATTAAGTAGATCAAGACTGCCCCCACCATCTTTATTCATATACACAATAGAACCGGACGGTTTTATCCCATAAGTTATTCTAAAAAAAAGACAGCGATTAAAAACAAAAAAAAGGAAAAAGAATTATTATACCTTGCTAAAGTAACGGAATCTTCTTTAATTGTTGTATCAACAGTATGAACTCCATTTATCTAAATTAATTATATAAATAATAATTTGTCTGTCTTATGTTTGATGAACTTACTTGTCCAACAGTAATAAGTACAGGTAAATTTGATACATTAAGAGCACCATATTGATATGGATCATCACAGACATCGACTGAAACTTCATTAGTTTCTTCATCATGAGTCACTTTTAAAGCTGGAGCTCTAGATTATATAAAATATTTTATAATTAGAAATCAATGATTTTTTGTTTTGCTGTATAATTTTTACTTTGTTTCACTTAATGCTGCTTTCATAGCAAATGAACATGCATCATGAAGATTTCCTTCATAGCGTAGGACCTTTTATAAACATAAATTACAAAAACATATAAAAAACTATCATATACGTCGAAAATTATTTCTTTATCAAACTGAAGAAAAAAAAAGGTCTGTATTGAATAGGAATTTTTTGAAAACTATATAATATGATATTTTGCATGACACATCTAATTCTATTACTTAAGCTAGAGTATTAAATGAATTGTGACTAATAATAAGTGTATTTATATATAATTTGTTGACTAAAATACTTTTGTAGACATCTAAGCTAAATAAATCAACATAGATTTTCATAACAATTTGATAAGTAATCATGAATTTACTTTGAAACGAAGTAGAGAAATTTAATATTTTAGAACGTAGCAAAGGTCAAACTATTTTTATCTCAATAATTATAATCTGAAACTATTAAAAAAAAATACTTCACATGCTGTTTTTTTACACCATCGTCATATTATAAGGACATAGTAATCTTTGCAAATATAAATATGTAAAAACGTTTTCAACTAATTAATTTTGTATTATAGGTGTTTATAGGGGCAAGACAACCTTGTCTATTCAAAAAGAGCATTTTTAAGTGTCAAAAATCGAAAACAGACTTCAGAAAATCATATTAATAAATGTAAATTCAAATGAAAATAAATAAAATAACTATCAAAAAATTTTATTTGTATCTCTTATCTTCGTTCTTTTACTACATTAAGGCAAAAAAATTAACTGATAATAATATTTACTTACAACCTGCTACTGATTTCAATAGTGCATCAAATTTATCTTTATCTTCTCTTTTTTAACGACTCAATTTCATAAACAAATCTAATGAACAATTTAGCAAAATACATTTATCTCATCAAGAGAACTAATTGATGAAAGTTTGCGTAATAAATTTTGAAAAATACTTACAGATATATCAACATGAACAAGCCAACAATGATGTCCTTTAACAACACATAATTGAGTTAAATCAAAACATTTTGAATTATTAAGTATATAATTAAGACTTCTAGCTATTTGTTTAGTATATTGTCTTCTATGTCTTCCAAATATTCTTAATGATCGACAACCACTTCTAAAATAAATAATAATAATAATATTCGCGCGAAATTTAACTAAATTATTTTTCGTTAAATAAAAATAATTCAAATGAGATTAAAAGAATATCGTATTCCAATTCCTTTAAATCTTGATGAATATCGTCTTGGTCAACAATGGACAGAAATTGAATTACTTAAAGAAACTTTACAAACATGTTCAACATGTATAACACTATATGATAATATAAGTGAACAAGAACGTTTAGATATAATCAATGAAAAAATTCCTTTAACATTAAAAACTAATATAAAATCATCAACAAAAATGACACATAAAAAATATAATATTAAAGATCAAACACCTAAATTTCTTGAATTATTTTTTCTTAAATCTAATAATGATCTTATTCTAGATGAATATTCATGGGATAATTGGCCATATACATTAACAATTATTGAAAATATTGATTATTATATACGTATTATAATACAAAGTTATTATATAAATAATAATTTATCAATTATAAATAATAATTCACAATTATATTTTACACTTAATGATGAACAAATAAAATCATTAAAAGATTATGAAATAATTAATATTGCTGAAAGATTAGATGAAAAAAAAGATTATCGATTAGATGAAGATCCAACACGAAATTCATCAATAAAAAAACCAAATATATTACCATTACAATTAAATACAAAATGGTATGAAAATTGGCCAAATAATCAATCATCTATGTGTGTTTATAAATTAATTGAACTTAATATATTTAATGAAAATAATGATGAAAAATCATTTTTTACAAAAACAACAAATAAAATTTTAGTAAAAAAAAAAATTTTTTTTTTTTACGTCTTTTTTTTAATATTTAAAATTATAGAATGGTTTTTTTTTTTCTTTCCTCTAGTGGTCATCAATAATCAAAGCACAAAAAATGATTTATCATCGTTTTCATCAAAAAATGATTACTAATATTGATAAATGGATTGATAAAACATTTTCAGATATTTATGAAGAAGAAAGATTATTAAAAAAATATATTTTACAACAACAAATTCAATTAATTGATTTAAATAAATAATAAAAAAAAATAATTTTTATATAACTTACCCATCAACAGTTGCTTCAATTCGACCTTCATTTGGTTTTTCTTGACTTGCACGACTAAATTCAAATGTAACACCAACCATAACTACAGTTCCACCCTAAGAAAATATTTATTCTATTTTGTGCTTTTGTTGTTTTTTTTTTTTCTTGTTGGAAAATTTCATTGAAAGAAATCTTACTAATTTAAGAAGACATGAACCATTGGCAGTATTTATAACATCAGTTGCAAGTAATAATGGACGATAGGTACGACAATTTCGACCATCATTTCGAAAATTTGACTAAAAGAAATAAAGAATTTTGAAATATATTAAACCAATGATGGATTCATAATTGAAAATTTTTTTTCTTTTGATTATGAACTATAAAACAATCTTTTATAAAAAAAAAAAAAAGATAGACGATAACAGTACTTTAATGCAGACAAAGATTACAACAGAAAAATCATTTATTATATCTTTATTAGTGTAAGTTGTGGTTATTAAAACACCATAAGATGCCCAATGGAAGAAGAAATAAGTTTCCTGATTAATTAAAAATTCATTCTACGCCTAATTTGACAATAATTAACTCATTTTTCCGTTTCTTTTTTTAGCCTTGACAAATTAAAGAAATAAAAGCAAATAAACAGGAATAGAGTATAACTTTCTTATTACGTATGATTAATTCTATTAGTGTGATAATAATGATAGAAAATGCACTTGTGCACGAAAGTATATCATCTGATCCATGCTATTCTCAATGGCATTTCGTTCCTATCTTGCCGATTTATTTTTAGAAAAAATCTTAATAGAAGCATTGAGGTTGATGAGTGGACTTTTTTTTATAGTTATAATTATTTTATTAATTTTCCGAGTTCGTATCAGATATTTTTAGACAAAAAAAAAAGTAAAACAACAAAATTTTAATATGAATTTTTATTGAGATATAGTTCTTGTAACAAATTGAAATTTTATTATTTGAATTTGACCCAGAAATTTTTTTCTAATATATTATCTTCGACATATGAACAAAGTATCATTAAAAATATCATGCATCAATTGACAATTTTGTTTTTATTAGTTCTGTATATATTTCAAAATGATTAAAATCTCATTTATAAAAAACATCCTACCTGTATTCCATCAACAATAAATTTTCTTTCATCTTCACTGGCAATCGGTACTCGAGGCATTATATCTTGAAAAAATGTACATTTATTAGAATCAAAATTTAAAAACAAAAATAAATAAATAATTTGTTTTCTTCATAAGTTAGTTAATCGGGTTCTAACTACACACAAAATACAACAGACAAAAAAAAGAATGAAATGCGTTAATTTGTTTTAGTATTTTTTGCTTTAGTTTTAATTAATGTATGAATAATTGTACATTATTTGAACATATTTATGAAAAATCTCGATCAGGAAATAAAGCCGGTGCAATACATGTCCAAACATATAAAACTACACATATCCAACTTGAAACTATTTTAACCCAAAGTGATGCTAAATTATTATTATATGTACTAAAATCTTTTGCTGGTCGATACCAACTATAAGATAAATAAATAAATAAATAAATAAATAAATAATAAAATTCTCTTTACTTAGTTAATGTCATCATTGCATATAATGTTGCAAGTACAAACATAAAATGAAATAAAGAATAATTATATGTAACTGAACCACGTTCATCATCATAAACATGTTGATGAGTTTTTTCTTCATCATCATCTAATGATAAACGACTATCTTTTGCAGATGTATCATCTAATATTGTTGAATAATCTGATGATGATGATAAAAATAATTTATTTGCACGATTATTATGTGATGATGTAAAAACTGAATAAAAAAGGGCACCACCAAACATAATTAAACCAATTATAGTTATTGGATCAAATATATTCTGTTGTCTTGTTGGACCAGGACTTGGTGTTGTTGAATTTGTTGGATGAATTATTGAACGAATACTTGGATTACAATTTGGATTTGGATTATTACTCATTGCTGACCTAAACATTATGAAAAGAAAAAAAAAAACAACAAGTATTTTTTACATAAAATCAAATAAATAACAAAATAATAATAATAATAATATGAACTAACCATGTATAATAAATAACATAAAGAGTAACGAATGATGATTGAAGTAAACCACATGATGGATTATATTCTTTTACTTTAGGTAATATTGATATAATCGATAAGATAAAACATAAACATAAATTAAATGATATAAAGAATGTATGTAAACGACATTCATTTTGATCTCGAGCATAATAAATATAAAAGAGAACAATACCAGTTATTGATAATCCATAAAATAATAAAGTAAAAAAACATAAACCATAAAGATGTTTTTTTGAACCAGATTCAACACTTTCAATCCATGATTCATTCCATCTAAATAATTAAATTTAGTTCAAATTAAATTTAAAAATTATTTTTAAACTTACGAATGAACAAAATCAATTGATAAAAGTAATTGAACAAGAATAAACTAAATAAAAAAAGAAAAATAACCGAAGTCAATAGTTTTTTAAAATTAATCAAACATTTTCTTTGATTTACCAGAAATCCTCCAATCAATCCAATAACCATAAATGCTTGAGCAAAACCATCATTTGGAATAAAAAAAGCAGCAACCACTAAACCAATAAGTATTAGTAATTTAAATCCCCAAAATCCATTTTGAATTTTTGCTCGAAAATCACTGGATGTTTTAACCTTAATCATCTAGAAATCAATACAGATACATACATATATATATATATTCATAATTAATTCAAATAATTAAATCTACTTACAATTAATGATAAAAGAAAAAAGAATACTGTCATTCCAAATGAAAGTCGATAAACAGCTAAAAATCCAACAATTTTTGAACAATCAATTGATGGTATTGATGGCATTGATGGTATAGGTATATTTGTTAATTTTGAACCACCAGAACATAATGCTGGAATTTTTGCTAAAGTTTTTTCAAGACCAGGTATTAACATTATACATGATGTTATTAAACCAGCAAGAAGAATAAGACCATAAGCAATACGTGTTGATGTTGAACCTTTACATGATGGACATGCAGCACAACAAAGTGAACAAAATGCATTACCAAAGCAACATGCTATGGATGAGCCTAAAGAACCAATACATAGACCCATTGTGAAAAGTGAGTTTTGTAGAAAATTATATGAAGATCTAGAAAGAAAAAGATAAAGTCAAAATTATTTTCGAAATTAACAATACGGGTAAATAGCAAAAATAATAGGTATTTTTTGTCATTAAATTTAATAAAAAAAAAAAAAAGTAAAAACTTAAAAATTAATTAGAATAAACATTTCTTATAATTAACAAGATATGCCAAAACAATCAGTTTAACTATAAAAAAATTTGTGAATACACAAAAAGAAAAAGGAAACATATACAAATAACAATATCATCTTTAATTATATGACAATATTTTCAATATCATGCTTATATTTATAACTTTTTATTCTTATCTCTTCACATAAATCATTAATAGACACATATAAACATAAAGACAAAAAAAAAACAAAAAAACAATGAATATAAATTTTTTTTATACATAGAAAATAATCTATAAAACATATAATTATCAATACGAAAGAAAAACATAACTATTTATATAATTATCTATATTAAATTCTACACATAATATCTGACTTATCTGATTTAATTTTTTCTTTTATCATATAAAATACATGAAAACAAAATATCTGATTTTCTAATCGACTAGAATTATACCATAATAATAACATCATTGATTTGTTGTTGTCGTTTTTCATCTTTTTCTTCTTTTGCCTCATCTTTGTGTTGTTTTTTTAATAATGTTGTTGACCAAGAGAGATGATTTATAAGATCACGAAAAGGTCGATTATTTATTATTGATGATACAAATTTTGAACGTTTGTCATAAACATTAACCTTAATAAAAAAAAAAAAAAAAATTTTTTTTCTTATATTAATTAAAATTAATTTACAAGTAAATCCATTGAAACATTATGTATTTGAATTGAATAAATTTCATCAATTGGTACTGTTGATGATGATCGATTAGATGAATTTGATAATGATTCTGAAAGTACTTCATAAAAAGGTTTCATCCATTGTTGACATATTGAAAGATCATCATCTATTAAGCCTAATATGTAGTTTACCAAAAAAACAATTAACTTTAAACGAAAAATAAAATAAAATTTTAATATTATTACCTGTTATTTCTTGTAGAGGCCAATTTGATTTATATAAAAGAATAGTCGAAGCTGCAAGAATATGTTTCGAAAATTGACTATATTCAATATCAAGTGAACATAAATCAAGTAACTAAACAAATATTTTTGTCTTTTTACATTTAAAATTCAACAAATAGACTTACTCGAACAGCTAAAGAAAATATTTGAAGAAAATCTGTTGATCGATGTACATTAGTTAATATCGAACTTTTAAGAATTTCACTGTTTGATAATAATAATCGTCGTTTTTTTCTTAAAGAACGATTATTATTATTATTATTATTTAAAATATTTTTCATTTCATATTCAACTTGAAGATAAATTAATAACCAACTTATTGATGTTATTGGATTTATATACCAATTTAATATCTTAATATATAAATAGAAATTTATTTCCAAAAATAGAAATATTTTTTTTCTTACATTCATTAAATCTAATTCCATATCTAAAATATCTTCTTCTGAACAAGTATTATCAGTAACATAAGCAAAATCAGATAATCGTGGTGGATAAATTTCCTTAAAAGTTAAATTTAACAAAAAAAAAAAAAAATTATAGAAAACTTTAAACAAATTTTTTTTCTTACTTCAATTTTTGCTGCAACAAAAAGTGATGTTATACCGAGTAATTGAAATTTATTTTTAAGAAAATTATTTGAATTACATAAATATTGATCAATATAAGCAATTGATAAATGATAAGTTTCACGATGAAGTTGATAAACTTCACTAACCTTTAAAACAAAAGAATAGGATTTATTTAAATTGTTTTTTTTATAAAAATTTTACTTCAAGTAACCAATCGAATAAAACACTTCGCATTTTAGTTGTAATAGATGGATGAGAATCAAGAAAATTTAAACGACATTTATATGTTTTATCAAGTGTTTTAATCATCATATTTGACCATAATTGATGAGATTGATACCATGGTATATCAACAGAATCTTCTTTATTAATACTGATTAATGATGAATGTTTAGTTGATACCATTTCTAAATTTTATTTATTCTTTTGATAAAATTTCAATCATAATAAACACAATATGAAAATTTAGTAATTAATTATTATTAAGAACAATTTCCAAAAATTTTTTCTTTTTCTATAAATTCTCTTATAGTATTTTATTCTTAAATCAAATAAATAATGATGAAGAAAAATATCTGATACAGAATAATAATTGATTCCTTAGAACTAAGATATATTCTATTGATATATATATATATATTCCGGTTGTCTTCAATATCAAAATAACATTATTATCATCATAGATTAATTATGTCTATCAGAAATCTTTTTATTTATTCTTAAATTTTCTATTTGATAGCATTTTGAAAGTGAAATAGTTGCTAGCTGAATACATTTCACGAGTATACCATACAATAGCATTTTATCAACAACAAAATCTTTCCGAATCATATTTTTTAATATTACATATAGATTTTATAATTAAAACAAATTTACATAGATACATATATATAAACAGTAGGAAGATAAACGTTTATAATATAAATAAAAATCTACAATGAAGATACAACATGTTAATAGATTATCTAAGCTTTTTTCCAATATATTCTTGAATAAAATTTATTAGTTCGGTATATAATATTGAATTCAGTGTTTCATCCAGGTTCTTTTCTCCGGAGGGGCGATTTGAAATTTCGGGGGGCGAAAAATTTTTTTCCGGAGGGCAAGCCATATAGTTCGTCGCGCGATGATCGCGAGTCTCGGGAGGTGCCGGGCACCCCTCCAGATAAAACACTGATTGAATTATATCAATAAAAAGTGTCAAAAGAAAATTCAAATATCTTATCAATATATTACTTCGTCGTAGTAGATTTTTATTTATATTATATCCGTTTTGTTTTTGTTGTTATTATTTAATATTACTATTTTTTAATTCTATGATATGACTGATGCAGCATTGAAATCA